TATTTAATTGTTTCCCACTAAAGGAATAAATATTTATTAAATGTGTGGTAACTACTTAATTGTCACCACCAGTTGATACTTTGTCCAATCTTGATCGTAGATGTTTTTGCTTTAATGTAATGTTAACTTAGTAAAGATAGCTTAAATTTTTTTTAACAAACTTAAAAATTAATAAACCTTTGAATCCCTTTTGATGCTTATTTTGGTCACTCTCAGTATTAATCGGTTGGCTAAGAAGAGTTGAAGTATAGGAAAAGTGTAAATGGAAATCTGTAGGCTACGGTTCGAAACCTGCCAGAAAATTAAATTATTTTTTTTCTTTTAATTAAATAAATATTTATTGACAACCCTTTTTAACTTAAATTCTCACTTTTAAAAGAACACTTAAATATATTTAGTGGAATTTTAATATTTTAACACAAAAAGAAATATTTTTAACAATAAAATATTTTAGTCAAGTTGTGTTCACTGATATGCATATGGGTATGAAAGTAGTATGTCATGCGAGAAGTATGAAAAGCATTTTCCAAAGTTAACGCGTGCAACTTATTTTAAAACTGAATAGAAAATTAGGTAAAGATGTATGAAAGGCATAAGCATTAGGAAGTGGACATATACTTTAGACTTGATAATTAAAGATAGGAAGATTGTTGGAAAATAATCTTAATCTTTTGAGTTAGAAAACATACAAACTTCTTTAATCTTGAGTTGTTTTCTTAACTACCTTAAGTTCATAAGATGAAAAAAAAAGGCCATGTTATACCACTGGATATTAGATCCAAGAAAGGTATTTACATGAAACTAAAAGAAAAATCATTAAACAGCAAATATTTAATTGTTGCTATTGACTTAGAGTTTAGAACATTACGTGGAGTAAATTAATGGATACTCACGTATATAAGTTAAATTTTTTTATCTTGGCTAATACTTAGTATTGTTGATTTGTCTGTAAGTCAGTTGCAGGTTAATTAATTAAAAAAAAAAAAAAATTTTTGGGAAAAATTTTTTTGAGATAAGGGGGATGTTGTGTAGCACATAAATTTAATAACGTTAAAAACTTAGCAATATAATTCTTAAATATTAAGTCGTAGAAATATTATTATTTATTCAGCGCCATCTATCATCATGCATATAAATTATTCAATATCGAAATCCACTTTGAAAAGCAATGGACAAGTACAATATATGTGTGAACCTAGTAGTTGCATTTGGAATGTAAGTTAGAGGGAGCTAGTGTGCAATTTCTTTTGAATGAGATGCGGAAATGGATGTGACGTCACATTAATGTTCTGGAAACATTGAAAGGCGGAGTCAGCAAAACCGGTCCGTGTGCTTCCTCATACCAAATATGGTGATATGAGAGAAATTTGCAATGACGCTGTCACGTGTTGTAGTAGCCTATAAATAGCAGTGCACAAACAGATTCGCTCTCTCTTGGCTGATAGAACCTTGAAGACCATACTTAGAAAATAGCATTAAGACTAGCAGTGGTAGTCAGTGCATTATATACTTGTTATTTCTCCCCGGATTAACGGGTAAGTTCAATACATTTGATTCGTTAGGCTGTAGGTCCAGTTGGTTTTTTTATTGAATTAAAGAAAAATATGTAATTGGTTCTAGGTCCATTAATTTGGCTAATAAATAATAGTAATAGTCACATTTACTTAATCCTGATTGGAATCTCCTTGGAAATATATATATATATGAGCCTGTGAAGCTTTCTTGAGCAAAAAGTGACGGGTTCACGTGATGACAGCAAGTCCTGCTTCATCCCTGAGGACATTTGAGTGATCCTGATGCTCCCATGATCTTGCCAAGCTAAGTAAAACTTATAACTTCTTGATATTTAACCAGTGCATACTCCGGAGAACAATTTCTGTTTAATGTGATAAAGGATTTCTATTGGTAAACTGTAAAGCCATTATAAGTACATAACAAATTTTTATTGTTAAATTTTTAAAACTTAGTATTTTATAACTTGTTTAATAATTTGTTTATATAAGAAACTTAAATTGAGTATTACTGTATTAGCACATGATCTTGAATGTTTGAATAGCTTTAAATCAAAAGAAAAATCTTTGAAGAAATATAACTATGTATTTTTAACTTGAATGTGACTAGTATTAAGTTTTAACCATGATGAAATAAGATCTGAATCTTTTTAACAATATAATATCTTGTTCACTGCGGTTTTAGACATTTTCATTTATCTCCCTCAAATCACAGTATCACGGCGCCCTGATTTTAAATTAAATAAATTTCGAGTCTCATGTAAGCCCTGAAATAGTCGGTGGTAACTAAAATTGTTACAATATAATATACAAAAATGATATAAGGAGTTTTTATGTGCCGTAGTATGCGCAAACCTTTAAAGTACAAACTTACGCTACTAAAATTAATTGGCACCCATGTCCTAAACTTTACATCAAAATAATTCAATGCGAAGGCACTTTCTTCAAGGCATGATTATTGCAATCTATTTTAATATCACCAAAATTAATCTTCAATAAATATTCCTACATCATCCGACTTTCTAGTAGGTTTCTGTACATCGACAAACTTACATTGTAAGCCTTGTAATAAATAATAATATTGGCTCCTCAAGAAAGTCGATAATAAGATTTTTATATATGGGGTAAAAATTCAAAAATTAGAGGTAATGAATGTATTAAAATTTAAAGATCAAAAAATTTCAATATTGATAGTAAGTACAAGTGAAAAAATATTAATAACGTACAACTTCGTTTACTTTCGGTTCATGTTAAATATACGATTTGTCGCAAAAACTATATTTTGAATAAATACAGTTATCAATTACTTACACTGATTGTAACAACTGTTAGTAATGTATTATTTATTATAATTGATTGATATACAAAATATATAACTAACATTATATTGTAATACAAAACAGTTAATACAATCATATTATAGTAATTCTACCACATAGTTATACAGACGTGTTGTCGTGGAGCCGATGTTGTTTACCGAACACGCAACGTTAAGCAACACATATTGATAGGTTAAAAAGCTCATTTTTAGTCTAAAAACCACTTCAAACATTCTAAACTCACACAAAACGCAAATACGAACACAACGTCGTCGTTTGTACATTTGCAAAGGAATGTGGTTATTGAAACGGAATGTCAACCTTAATCGCGAAATTCAGCTATCATAGTTCTCGCATGTTAATTAAAAATATGACGCAGGAGAATATTTGAACAAATGCGTTTTACCAATATGACTTTAAGGAACACATATATTTGTACAATCTTGATAATATTAAACAAATACATAAATACGTTCCTTTCGATTTTTAACTTTAATATAGTAATTTGTTTTATCCAAAGATCGTATCGAAATTCGTAAATTCATGTGTAGGATAGTAGAGCACTATCAGAACTTTCGCCTTTAGTAACACATAAAAATACATCATAAACAATCTTTCTTCAGAATATAAATAAAATACTCGTATTTACATCGAAGAAATAAGTTTCACGATATATGGTCCTTCGAGCTGAATGAAGTGAATATAGTTCATGAGCTTTATACGTACAATGTACAATATAATGTAGATAAGTTTGGGTGGAGAGTAGTCAGTATTTTTGGACACGAGAAGCTATGAATTATGTAGGTAAACAAACATATAGGGATTCAGAACATTTGCATTCAATAAAAAATCCAAATCCATCAATCCATAAAGATAATGATCGAACGAGCGCGCTTACATTGAAATTCCAAACCATATCTATACAAACCAGAAGTAAGGCGCGTCCCAGTACCACGGATAAATTAACGACTGGTTTTATCGCGATAGAATTATCACTCATAATGACACTGATGAGAAGTAACAAAGAATTCATCGAAAGTACTTAGTCTTAGAACCTATTTTAGTTGGGTATTAAGTTTAATAAGAAAAAAAATTATCGTTTGACAAAAAACGAAAGATTAACTGACGATAACAAGATTTAATTTCTGAATATGTCAAAACACGCAACATGTCAATATAAGCGTCGCCGTCGTGGGCATTACATCGGAGTTGAGTTATATTGATTTCGTTATGCAAACCCAAATTTAAAACTGCCATCACTTCATATTTAAGCGGTTGGTTTTGGTTAATACAAGAGAAATTTTACTATTATTGAAATTCACGCTTTAGTTTCGTATTACAAAGCATTATATTGGTTGTGAACATAGCAGTAAGTATGGCGGGTAGTGACAGTATTGGAGATTATCAACATACAAGATTGCATAGCTACGTAACCTTATAGAAGATTTTATTCACATAACTTATAACTTCTCGGGATAATTTTCTAAAGGGAAATAGGGTATTTGACGTTATTAAAAATAAAGTACCAATAGTAGGCATCTTTATTTAAAATGAATATGGGCACAGATTTTTACTGTTTTTACAGAAATATATTCATAATTTTACTCAAAAATCACGAAATAGAAAATGTTTTTTATCCATTGTCACGTGATCAAAACGCCTAGGATTAGCGGAGTCTAAAATGACGTGACACGTATGTAAACTTTTGGGTCAGTGATATTACTTGTATCGATTCACGCTTATATGTCAGCTGTGTGACCTTCCACATAGGCAAACCCAGAGAAACGATCCAGCGGCATATTAATTGAAAGTAAAATTTTCAAATTCTTTTTTTTTATTACGTATTTTTAGAACAGGATGAAAATTTTTGTCAAATACCCTTCAATTCGTGTTTGATATTTGTAAATTTGACAACAGTCTGTCTGGCTTTATAAGACATGACAATTACAGACTGATATCTAGTTTACAAATAGCAAACACCAATTGCAAAGTTAAGAGCCGGCATCAAAAAATTGGCAAATAACTTATTAAGGTGAATTTTGTGTTAATAAAAAGCCTGATCAAAAGAAATAAACAGTATTTGATAATATTTTATCTATTTGCTTGCTTGTTTATGGAGTCCATAAGAAGCGGACATTCATAATTCATTGAATCAAAAATTCCATTTTCACGTTGCCGCGAAAACGTTTCTCTGAACATTATGGCGTGCATTGGCGTCTCACTAGTATGTGACGTCACACGACTGTCATTAAAACGTCAAATGGTACAATGTAATGTCACTTTGCCCGGAAGTTTACTTGCGTGTGACATCACACTACTTTCGGTCACGTGACCGAAAAACAGAAAAATCATTTCTGTTCAAAAATTTTTTGGAAAACGTTATTAATAATTTGCTCTCGCAGACCCAGTAAAAAAATCGCTGCTAATATTCATTTGAAAGAGAGGTGCCACCAATTAGTACTTTATGGCCCTGCCAGAACGCCGCAGCGGCCCTGGCGTCGCTGTGGCACTATGTTGGGACCTACTTGGCCTTTCTTTGTTATTGCTTTTGTTTTGTGTAATCTTATTATTTAAGGCCAATAAAATTATTTCTTTCTTTATACAGTAGAACGCCGATTATCCAAACGCTGATTAACCGAATCACCAATTATCCGAATCGGTGCTAAGCGTAAAATAAAAGCATTTAAACCAAGTTATCTTTGTTTTGTTGTAACAATTTGGAACTCCCTGGAATCCAGATATACTTCAATTATTATGGTTGAAAGCTGGAGGCAAGTTTTTGCCCCGCACGGTTTTTTTTTGCTACTACATATGTACCTCTATTATTGTATTTAGTATTGTAGAACTGTGTTTGTTCCTCTTAATAAGGTTTATTGTATGTGTGACAGTTTGTTTTTCTATATTACGAGTCTATGTCCGATTATCCGAATCGACCCCGAAAGCCGATGGATGCGAGTGGCGCAGGACCGATCGGTGTGGAGGCCTATGCTCAGCAGTAGGCGTCGTACGGCTGACATGATGAATCGACCCCGGTTCCAATTAATTCGGATTATCGGCGTTCTTCTGTATTTCATATTCTCAAATAGCCTGTTTAGTTTAGTAGTAGGAGGCGTGGGGTCTCGGATCGGGCGGACGGTAACTCACGGCGGGAACTGGCGGCCGCTCCAGGCGAGACTCCAGCGCGGCCAGCTGCGACTCCAGCCGCAATGATGAGCTGTCGAACCCACAACCTACGCGAAACAAGCAAATCATCAGCCTATTATCCCCTCGTCTGTTGTAAGTGGATGATTTCTGCCACGAGTTGAGAACATTATTTTTATTTTTCATATTTTACTTTTTATCATAATATGTAATGGTTTTTAATTTACACATTTAATATAGAGATGAGTTTGTACAGAAACTATTTAGGATTGATTTAAGACATAAATGAAGCCTGGATGTACAGTAGAACTCGAATAATAAGAGGAAAATCGGCCGGATTTTTTTCTGATTTTCCGGCCGTGAAAACCAAAGTGGGAGGACTACACAGACCAGGGGGTCAATGTCCCCACTGCTGGGGCACAGGCCTTCCCTATGGATGGAATAGGGAGATTGGGCCATGACGAATTGGTGGGTGCTAACGACTGTAGATGCAGTAGGGACACACGGCTTAACGTGCCTTCCGAAGCACGGAGGAACTGGAGATAGATGACGACCTCCGGACAGACACAAACGTCTGCCTCCACCGGATCCCGGTGGAGGCAGACGTTTGTGTGATGAATACGAGCATTTGTACTGCAGTCACTTTTGGATGTTTAATATGTATTTATATGTAAATATACTTATATATGTACTGTATATGTATTCTATCCGTTACCGTAGTATAGGGATGCGCCGAACCGATCCGATTTCAAAGGATCGGATCGGATCGGAAAGGCATACGATTCGGTTATTTTCGGATCGGATCGAGGCCATACGATTTTATGCCGGATTGTTACAAAACTTGAAAGATCGGATCGCTTTGATCGTATGAATTAAAACGCGGTTTGTTTACAATAAATTGGGTAGGTACTTACTAAGGTTTCTGTTACGAACTTTATCTTTGTTTACATTTTAACTTGGCAGCATTATTTGCAGGTGGATCCGTTAATCTTATACATTCTATTATTATAAACAAAAGTTGTACCTGATTAGGTGTGATGATTATTGATATGTTGACCAAATAAAAATCTAAAATAATTTGTCTTATTTATTGTATCCAATCCGATCCGATTTCTTGAAGATCGGATCGACGGCATGCGATCCGATCCGCGGATGGGATCGTAGCATTACGATCCGAAAAATCGGATCGACGACCCGGATCGCACATCCCTACCCTAGTCTACCATAACACAAGCCTTACAGTGCTTACTTTGGGGCTAGGCTAATTGGTGTGTTTGGCAATTTTTATTTATTTATTATATTAATGTCCCTGCTGTAACACAGACCTTCCCTCTGGATGGAATAGGGAATTTGGGCCATTACGTACCACGAGGGTGCGGATTGGAGGGTGCTAACGACTGCAGATGCAGCCGGGACCAACAGCTTAACGTGCCTTCCGAAGCACGGAGGAACTCGAGATAGAAAGTTTTTGGACACCCAACCAATGACCGACCACTGCGAAAGTTGCTTAATTTCTACGATCACAGCCGAACGCGCTAACCACCTCCTCCTCCTCATTTAGGATTGCTAGTTAAGGTCGGGCATATTATAGCTATTAACGGGATTGTTACCATGGACTTTGTTTTTTATGAGTCTCCGAAATTACGGTACTGTTGCAAGCGACATGATCACGGTCACTCACACCCGAGAGCGACGACGTCACACGCAGTTACATGTATGCAGTGTTATATGTATACAGGGGACGTGGGACGTGTGGGACGCCACATTTGTCACACGGGGGAAAAGTATATATAATATTGAAGATAGGATATTTTACTGAAAGAAGACATCATTTTATTTTTTAATAAGAAGTAGAACTGCATTCACAGATTTTTCAAGAATCGCCTGTCACAACCGCGAATCAAACTCGTGAAATGTGAAAAAAAAACATGACGTATTTTATGATAACCGTCGAAAGGGTATAAATTATAAGTATTATTTTTTTCTTAATAACATAGTTTTTTTAAATGAAAGGAAGGTCATGAAATTAAAATATTAGTAAAGTTAAGTTTATCGACAGGCAGAGAAATTATTAATAGAGTGACAATTTGTATACTACAGAATGAAACATATTTTGAACATTTGATAAATAAAATAAAAAAATCTTGCGCCGTTTCGTTTTTATTGTACGTGTTTGTGTTCAATTATTTTAAATAAAATGTAAAATTTCATGATCTTCCTTTCATTTAAAATGCTACGTTATTTAGAAGAAAATAATGCTAACATTTATAATGAAATAGTATACTATATAATTAAATTTCAATAAGTTTACAATTACAAAAGCTTAAAACAACCTTATGTCTAAAAACGTAAAAACTAGAAATAACTAAGAACCTTTTGATCACCGGTCACCTCGGTGAGTCTCTTAGACAATTCCTTAAAGAAGGAACGAGCGCTTGGACCCCATGGTCCCATAGTCTCCACACCAAACGGCACAAATATGTAGCTCTCATTGAGAGCTGAATATTTGCGCGGCTTGGAGCACTCGGCGAAGGCCGCCGCCGCGCCTGCAGCCAGGCAAGTACTACTTGTATGGCACGGAGCAAGCGTATCCACGCAAGTTGCGTCCCACACAAGAGGACGACCCTGCTTCCTTTCTAAATAATACTTATTTCGACGGTTATCATAAAATACGTCATGTATTTTTTTTACATTTCATGAGTTTCATTCCCGGTGGTGGCAGGCGATTCTTAAAAAATCTGCGAAAGCAGTTTTACTTATTATTAAAAATAAAAAATGACTTCTTTCAGTAAAATATCCTATCTTCAATAATGAATATATTTTCCCTCCGTGTGACAATGCCGTGGGAAACCCTATGAAACAGCTGATTTTTTTCGTGATTTTAGAGTTGGTTCTATAGTAAAAGTTGTTCCTGTTGATGGGTAGAATAGAAACAAAATATAAACCCTAAGAGGTTGTTGGTGTTTTAAAATTAACCCTGTAGATAATGATAGTGTGATGACAGTGTTCCAGTTACCGCTCGCGTTGTCGTTGTGCGGCGAGTAGTTGCGGCGCGCCAGGTGCCGGTACCGAGCCACGCCGCCTACGCCTTCTGCGCTCGAGAACGACGCCCCAGATGATAGGCCCACTGTGGAAAACAACGTTCGATTATGATTTCAAATTGGACAATATTGTGATCCTTTGCAATAAGGGGCCGTCCATTAATCACGTGATCTTTTTTTGGCATTTTTAACCCCCCCTCTCCCCCTTGGTCATACCTACATTTCTTTTTATATTTATAAAATACAGGTGTTAGTATCTAAAAAAGAAAATTAAAGACTACCAATAATAACTTAATTAGTTATTACGACAGAAAAGTTGCAGGTGGTGCAGGTTTGACTGATATAAAATAATGAAAGTAATGCGAAAAACTTTTTTGTACTAATACATGAACAAATAATGTACAGTATCCTCGGACCACGGAAATACACGTGATATATTACTACACAAAAACAGAGTTGTTTGTACAAAGGTCCCATAAGGCCAAAAAAGAACGATAATAACAAATAAGTTGTGCAACTCCACTATTGGAATATGGGGCCGTTCAAGTATTACGTAAACAGATTTATTACAATTATTTACCCCCTCCTCCCTCTCGTCAGCAAAAGTAAGCAAAGCTCTCCCCCATCCTTACGTAAACATTGGTACCTATATGCATTTTTCCTTTAATGTATTCTGTTTTTTTTATTGATTCATGAGCTTTCATGAGCTTCATGAAAAAGGCGTAATCGATGATGCTGACGTAATCACCATCTCTACCCCCCATCCCCCCATGTCATCAAAAATAAGCAAAGCAAAGACTTCCCTACCCCCCTATAGTGGTTACGTAATACTTGAACAGCTATCCTAATCTAATATATAAAAATCTCGTGTCGCGGTGTTTGTGGTTAAACTCCTCCGAAACGGCTTTCCCGATTCTCATGAAATTTTGTGTGCATATTGGGTAGGTCTGAGAATCGGACAAAATCTATTTTTCATCCCCCTAAATGTTAAGGGTAATCCACCCCTAATTTTTTTTTCAATTTTAGATTTTTTTTTTGATACATCATACAAAAATACATACAACCCTAAATTTTCACCCTTCTACCACCAACCCCTATTTTTTTATGGTGGTACGAAGTTCGCTGGGTCAGCTAGTAATATTATAAATATGGCATCAATGTTCTAGTTTTCAATTTGAATTTGTTTGAATGTTTTTTCCTCAATCACGCAAAAATGGTTGGACGGATTTGCAAGATATATAGCATACATATAGTTTATTACCATAATTGAGACAAAGGATACTTTTTATTTCAGACAAGTGTTAGTTCCTGTGACATGTTCAAAGAAAAAAAATATGTATAACGCGAAGAACGACGCCGCGGGCAGAAGATAGTACAAAATAAGGAAACAGTGACAGTATCACAATATAAAGCGATACTCACCCAGCGAAGCAAGAAGAGATCAATGACGCAAATGATTAGCGTGTTCGGCTGCGATCGTTTAAATTCAGCAACTTTCACAGAAGTCGGTCATTGGATGGGTGACTAAAAAATGCTATCTCGAGCTCCTTCGGAAGGCTCGTTTAACCGTTGGTCCCGGCTGCATATGCAGTCGTTGACACACCAATCCGCACTGGACCCGCGGGGTGGGTCATGCATGGCCTAGTCTATTATTCCATTATTTGACGACCTCCGTGGCCGAGTGGTATGCACGCCAAGTTTCAAGGTGTCGCCTACTTGAGAGGTCCGGGTTCAAATCCCGGTGGAAGCAGATGTTTGTTTTATGAATACGAGCATTTTTACTCCAGTCATGGATTTTTAATATGTACTTCTATATAAATATACTTAATATATGTATCAGTATATGTATTCTATCCGTTAACCTAGTATCCCAAAACACAAGCTTACAGTGCTTACATTGAGGCTAGGCTAATTAGTGTGAGTGTAATAAAATATATGTATAGGAAAGGCTTATGCCCCAGCAGTGGGGACATTAATAGGCTGATGATGAAGATGACTCACCCAGCTCCTCCCTGCTGGAGTTGTTCCGCAGCGAAGCGCCGCTATCGTACGCGGAGCTCGTATGCTTCTGCAGCACTTTGATCATGGCGTCGCGTTCTGCCACTTTGGACTCTAACTCCTTCACCCTACGGACGAAATTAAGTTTCACTTATAATTGTGGAAAAAAAAATTGAACACAAACATTGTTACAAGAATATAATGGTGTCGATTCTGGCATGATTCTTTAATTTGACAACAGTGTATCCTTATCATTCACTATTCAGAATGAGAAGGAGAGACTGATGTTAAATTTATTTTTAAGTTTAGAGAATCATGCCAGAATCGACATCAATGTTTTTTTCCACAATATTAATATTTTTTTCCAGAGGCCGAAGCATGAATTTTGACAGCTCCGTAATCATATCTTCATCGTCCAATTTTGTTTGGAAGGAACCAGTTTGTTCTTACGTCCGGTAGGTGCTTAGTTTTCATAGAACTTGACGATTACGGAGTTGTCAAAATTCGTGCTTGGACTTCTGGTATTGTGACGCGTAAGCTGTTTTTTATGGCTCTTAATTACTCAACAAAACACGGCGTCAAAAAAACGCACCTCCGCGAAAATAACTTTCAAGCGTTATTATAACCCTTAACACACGCATTTGCCTCCACCAATATTGGTGTCATTTGAAAGCCGATTAAATAAACTTACAAAAACAACTTTAAAAATTATTTTTATTTTTTTTTGGAACAGTGCAGAATAAAAACAATAAAAATCTTTAATTTAAGCCTTAATGAAAAACAGATATAATTACACAAAAATGGATGACGGCAGGCAAAAAAAATATATAATAATAGAATTCCTCCGAACCTGCTCTCTAGGTCAGCGACTTTCTTCTGTGCGAGATGCAGTTCGTCCATGTGTCGTATTTTCTCGCTCCGCGCTTCTGCCATCAACCTTTCGGATTCCGCAGAAGTCTTTTCGAGGGCTGCTATTTTTGCGTCCCTGAACAAGTTTTGTTTCTTCGTTAGTAATGACTATGGAAAAAGCAAATAAAAATAAAAAACCAATTAAAAATCTACTTTATTCGTATTTCTGTTTTAGTTTCAAGTTCGTTATTTGTCCGTAAGTCACGCCAAAACGGCTGAATGGAATAATATGAAATTTGGTACAGAACCTATATAAAAAATAACTTTTTAATGAAAGGTTCAGTGGCATTATTAAATAATTTACTACTTGACGAAATTGGTCCACGGCAAGGTTGGACGCCTCCTCGAGGTAGAGCTGCTCCCACTTGGCTCCCTCTCCCTCTAACGCGAGCAGTCCGTCCCTTTCTCGCAGCTGTCATCTTCTTGGGTATGGAGGCAGCGGAGACGGAAGCCTGTCGCAGCGCCGCCTCCTCGAGGTAGCGCTGCTCCCACTTGGCGCCCTCTCCCTCTAACGCGAGCAGTCCGTCCCTTTCTCGCAGCTGTCACCTACTTGGGTATTGAGGCAGCAGAGACGGCAGCCTGTCGCAGCGCCGCCTCCTCGAGGTAGCGCTGCTCCCACTTGGCGCCCTCTCCCTCTAACGGGAGCAGTCCGTCCCTTTCTCGTAGCTGTCACCTACTTCGGTATGGAGGCAGCGGAGATGGCAGCCTGTCGCAGCGCCGCCTCCTCGAGGTAGCGCTGCTCCCACTTGGCGCCCTCTCCCTCTAACGGGAGCAGTCCGTCCCTTTCTCGTAGCTGTCACCTACTTCGGTATGGAGGCAGCGGAGATGGCAGCCTGTCGCAGCGCCGCCTCCTCGAGGTAGCGCTGCTCCCACTTGGCGCACTCTCCCTCTAACGCGAGCAGACCGTTCCTTTCTCGTAGCTGTCACCTACTTGAGTATGGAGGCAGCGGAGACGGCAGCCTGTCGCAGCGCCGCCTCCTCAAGGTAGCGCTGCTACCACTTGGCGCACTCTCTCTCTAACGCGAGCAGACCGACCCTTTCTCGTTGCTGTCACCTACTTGGGTATAGAGGCAGCGGAGACGGCAGCCTGTCGCAGCGCCGCCTCCTCGAGGTAGCGCTGCTCCCACTTGGCGCACTCTCCCTCTAACGGGAGCAGTCCGTCCCTTTCTCGTAGCTGTCACCTACTTCGGTATGGAGGCAGCGGAGATGGCAGCCTGTCGCAGCGCCGCCTCCTCGAGGTAGCGCTGCTCCCACTTGGCGCACTCTCCCTCTAACGCGAGCAGACCGTCCCTTTCTCGTAGCTGTCACCTACTTGAGTATGGAGGCAGCGGAGACGGCAGCCTGTCGCAGCGTCGCCTCCTCGAGATAGCGCTGCTCCCACTTGGCGCACTCTCCCTCTAACGCGAGCAGACCGTCCCTTTCTCGTAGCTGTCACCTACTTGAGTATGGAGGCAGCGGAGACGGCAGCCTGTCGCAGCGCCGCCTCCTCAAGGTAGCGCTGCTACCACTTGGCGCACTCTCTCTCTAACGCGAGCAGACCGTCCCTTTCTCGCAGCTGTCACCTACTTGGGTATTGAGGCAGCAGAGACGGCAGCTTGTCGCAGCGCCGCCTCCTCGAGGTAGCGCTGCTCCCACCTGGCGCCCTCTCTCTCTAACGGGAGCAGTCCGTCCCTTTCTCGTAGCTGTCACCTACTTGGGTATGAAGGCAGCAGAGACGGCAGCCTGTCGCAGCGCCGCCTCGTCGAGGTAGCGCTAATGCCACTTGGCTCCCTCTCCCTCTAACGCGAGCAGTCCGTCCCTTTCTCGCAGCTGTCACCTACTTGGGTATTGAGGCAGCAGAGACGGCAGCTTGTCGCAGCGCCGCCTCCTCGAGGTAGCGCTGCTCCCACTTGGCGCCCTCTCCCTGTAACGGGAGCAGTCCGTCCCTTTCTCGTAGCTGTCACCTACTTCGGTATGGAGGCAGCGGAGATGGCAGCCTGTCGCAGCGCCGCCTCCTCGAGGTAGCGCTGCTCCTACTTGGCGCACTCTCTCTCTAACGCGAGCAGACCGTCCCTTTCTCGTTGCTGTCACCTACTTGGGTATGGAGGCAGCGGAGACGGCAGCCTGTCGCAGCGCTGCCTCCTCGAGTTAGCGCTGCTCCCACTTGGCGCACTCTCTCTCTAACGCGAGCAGACCGTCCCTTTCTCGCAGCTGTCACCTAATTGGGTATTGAGGCAGCAGAGACGGCAGCTTGTCGCAGCGCCGCCTCCTCGAGGTAGCGCTGCTCCCACTTGGCGCCCTCTCCCTCTAACGGGAGCAGTCCGTCCCTTTCTCGTAGCTGTCACCTACTTCGGTATGGAGGCAGCGGAGACGGCAGCCTGTCGCAGCGCCGCCTCCTCGAGGTAGCGCTGCTCCTACTTGGCACACTCTCTCTCTAACGCGAGCAGACCGTCCATTTCTCGTTGCTGTCACCTACTTGGGTATGAAGGCAGCGGAGACGGCATCCTGTCGCAGCGCCGCCTCGTCGAGGTAGCGCTAGTCCCACTTGGCGCCCTCTCCCTCTATTGCGAGCAGTCCGTCCCTTTCTCGCAGCTGTCACCTACTTGAGTATGGAGGCAGCGGAGACGGCAGCCTGTCGCAGCGCCGCCTCCTCGAGGTAACGCTAGTCCCACTTGGCGCCCTCTCCCTCTATTGCGAGCAGTCCGTCCCTTTCTCGCAGCTGTCACCTACTTGAGTATGGAGGCAGCGGAGACGGCAGCCTGTCGCAGCGCCGCCTCCTCGAGGTAGCGCTGCTCCCACTTGGCGCCCTCTCTCTCTAACGGGAGCAGTCCGTCCCTTTCTCGCAGCTGTCACCTACTTGGCTATTGAGGCAGCAGAGACGGCAGCTTGTCGAAGCGCCGCCTCCTCGAGGTAGCGCTGCTCCCACTTGGCGCCCTCTCTCTCTAACGGGAGCAGTCCGTCCCTTTCTCGTAGCTGTCACCTACTTGGGTATGAAGGCAGCGGAGACGGCAGCCTGTCGCAGCGCCGCCTCGTCGAGGTAGCGCTAGTCCCACTTGGCTCCCTCTCCCTCTAACGCGAGCAGTCCGTCCCTTTCTCGCAGCTGTCACCTACTTGGGTATTGAGGCAGTCTCTCTCTCTCTCTAACGCGAGCAGACCGTCCCTTTCTCGTTGCTGTCACCTACTTGGGTATGGAGGCAGCGGAGACGGCAGCCTGTCGCAGCGCCGCCTCCTCGAGGTAGCGCTGCTCCCACTTGGCGCCCTCTCCCGCTAACGCGAGCAGTCCGTCCCTTTCTCGTAGCTGTCACCTACTTGGGTATTGAGGCAGCAGAGACGGCAGCTTGTCGCAGCGCCGCCTCCTCGAGGTAGCGCTGCTCCCACTTGGCGCCCTCTCTCTCTAATGGGAGCAGTCCGTCCCTTTCTCGTAGCTGTCACCTACTTGGGTATGAAGGCAGCGGAGACGGCAGCCTGTCGCAGCACCGCCTCGTCGAGGTAGGGCTAGTCCCACTTGGCTCCCTCTCCCTCTAACGCGAGCAGTCCGTCCCTTTCTCGCAGCTGTCACCTACTTGGGTATTGAGGCAGCAGAGACGGCAGCCTGTCGCAGCGCCGCCTCGTCGAGGTAGCGCTAGTCCCACTTGGCTCCCTCTCCCTCTAACGCGAGCAGTCCGTCCCTTTCTCGCAGCTGTCACCTACTTGGGTATTGAGGCAGTCTCTCTCTCTCTCTAACGCGAGCAGACCGTCCCTTTCTCGTTGCTGTCACCTACTTGGGTATGGAGGCAGCGGAGACGGCAGCCTGTCGCAGCGCCGCCTCCTCGAGGTAGCGCTGCTCCTACTTGGCGCACTCTCTCTCTAACGCGAACAGACCGTCCCTTTCTCGTTGCTGTCACCTACTTGGGTATGGAGGCAGCGGAGACGGCAGCCTGTCGCAGCGCCGCCTCCTCGAGGTAGCGCTGCTCCTACTTGGCGCACTCTCTCTCTAACGCGAACAGACCGTCCCTTTCTCGTTGCTGTCACCTACTTGGGTATGGAGGCAGCGGAGACGGCAGCCTGTCGCAGCGCCGCCTCCTCGAGGTAGCGCTGCTCCTACTTGGCGCACTCTCTCTCTAACGCGAACAGACCGTCCCTTTCTCGTTGCTGTCACCTACTTGGGTATGGAGGCAGCGGAGACGGCAGCCTGTCGCAGCGCCGCCTCCTCGAGGTAGCGCTGCTCCCACTTGGCGCACTCTCCCTCTAACGCGAGCAGTCGTTCGTCCCTTTCTCGCAGCTGTCTTCGTAATTCAGCTTCGCCGCCGCCGCCTCCGCCACTGTTGCTACCCGGCTGCCCCATTCCATTGCCGCCGCAGTTACACTCCCGTTGTCTGACAACAACAAAAAATAAGAAAAACGCTTCATCATTATCTCACTTTCTCTTGAAGAACACATATCAAAAAATTCTAAGCAATATGCATAATTTACGAAACTATAAATTTTATCAGTTAATATTATGTGCGTATTATCGTTATGCGATGTATAATTTATTCAAGCTTTTTCTTGTTTTAGTCACTAATAAAACAAATTTGGTTATTATTAACAATAGGGTATTTGACAAGTTTTAGAAAACGATCTCACGTTATTGACTAATGTTTATGGAGTCCGTAAAAAGTGGATATTCATCATTCTGTTGTGTATTTCAGTAAAAATAACCAAATTAAAAACTCCATTTTCAAGTTGCCGCGAAAACGTTTCTCTGAACAATATGGCGTCGTACTAGAGTGTGACGTCACACGACTGTTATTAAAACGTCAAATGATACAATGTAATGTCACTTTAACCGGAAGTTTACTTGCGTGTGACGTCATTTTAGGCTCCGCCAATCCCTAGCGTTTTGGGTCCTGTGACAATAGATAAGAAAACTATTATCTTTTTCGAGGGTTTTTAGTAAATTTATGATTTTTTTTTGTAAAAATAGTAAAACCCCCTGCCAATATTCATTTTAAACACAGATGCTAACAATTGGCACTTTATTATTAATACTGTCAAATACCCTATTACATAAGCAACTCTTATGCACGCACACTTCTGTAAATAAACATTCAATCATGTAAACAAGACAGAACTGTCCACTTCAAAGGGGCACGAGCAAAACGGAGTCTGCCTCGATTGGCAACCGACTGCGTTTTCTTTTCTCTCTCTACAAACGGCTGAGCTGTATTGTTGTCCTTTTCTTGATAACAAATAGCGAATCAGTAAATAACATTAATGACAAACCGTGATTTCGGAGACTATTTATTTATTTTTATAACAAATTAAATACGCAATATTGTTATATTGAGTGCACATTAGTGATGTAACGAATATTCGCATTCACATTCGCATTCGCAAAATCTCTGCGAATGTTTTGCTAATATGAATATTAGAAAAAAACAATTTAAAGAAGTTGTAGTTCTGCCTTTCCTTGAATATTCATTGTTACACAGTTTGCATTTAGCTCGTTCAGCATCGCAAAGCGTGAAATAAGTCCATGTTTCACTAGAATTCGATTTACTCATGTTAATAAATCACTATTACCACTCACAATCACTAACTTCAAAATTCACTTGTTTTGTTTACGGAAAGACCGGTGCGAGCGGAATGACACTTCAGTCGGATAAGTTCATATCAACTCGACAATTCGAACGAGACTGCCACCATGTCATAGACAATTGGCGCCAATAGGGAAGATGCATATATAATATTTATGAAAATTTTATGATTAAATGTTAAAAAAATATAAAAGAAATGCCACTGCAACGTTTTTATTTTACATAATGTTGTTTTTTAACAATTATTACGAATTAAAAATACTCGAAACGGAACGTATTTTAAAACACCAATCAGCGTTTAGTGACGTCACTCCTGTTATGACAACTTCTTTGCGGTTATGGTTGTTAAAGTAAATATTATTTTATGGGAATATTTATTGCGTTTTTTTACATTTAATAAAAATGGAAGTTGCGTTTATCAAAGGAGACTCCAGGAATTTACCAAGAGTTAGCGTTGACATGATTATAACTTTTTTTGTCCAAAGTGCAGAGTTTTTAAGTGTAGAAATGAAAGGGACTAAATTACTACGGTATGTAAAAATCGTAGTTGTTAAACTTCGTATTTTATTCAGCGGCTTCTACAAATCTTACGGCGATAATGCAATCGGCTATGTCCAAATTAAAAGGGATGGAGAATTATGTACAGTAAAAGGTCGAGTTCTCCGGAGCATAAAGTACGTAAAGAAGGTTATCGTGTTACAGTTATTTTAAATGAAACGCAAAGCTTAGTTCAGTCCTGTCAATGTGAAGATTGTGCCACACATTTTAAACTGTATCTAATTTTCGACGTCATTCTCCAACCGTAAAATTAAAAATATGTTATAGACAGGTTTTATAAGTATTAGGTAGGTTACTAATGCGTTTTTACGTACAAGCAGATTTATTAAGCATATAACAAGTTTATTCGCCGACTTACGTCAAAGTGATCTTCTCAGCATCGAATAATGGTCTTTGGAGAATAATTGTCATTTCTCTTCGCAGCTTGAAACCACTTTTTTTTCGGTTTTGGGTCAGAAGTTCCAGTCAAAAACATATTATTTGGGAACTTTGTTGAAGTAGATTGACACAAAACATGAGTCAACACGGCTTTTTTTCGGAATATTAGTGGTATTGTTATGATCACATGATGTTGATGGATAGTCCATTTTAAATTTTTCAAAAAATATTTTGAAATTCGAAAAAATATGCAGAAGTATGAAAATTTAAAGCCAGCAAAGAACAAGTACGACCAGTGACAGACAGGAATGACGTCATCGCAACCATAGGTTCGTTTTCGCGCGAAAATTTAAATTGTCAATTTAAAACCGCAGTTTTTTCGATAAATCACAATGTTTTAATTTTTTAATATATCTGTGGTTTATTGTTCAAAAAATGACATTCGTTACATCACTAGTGGACATGCAGCGTGTTTGAATGTCCAATTGTGGTCAAGCACCACGATTGAAGCGATACTCTTTTGAGCCGCGAGTACGATATCTTCCTTTTTATGTTAATCTAACGCCAAAGCTCATTATAGTCATATCGGGGCGCAACGCAATAATTGAATCCATCACTTGTACACTCATTTGTGCAATAAAGTATAAATAAGTGTAAATTAATAAATTATGAACGTGGCTTTAAACCTGAGCGTCTGCAACTCCTTCTCCAGCTGCGCCCTCAACTTCCGCTCGGTGTGCTCGCGTCGGTCGGAGGCCTGCTGCAGCGACGCCAGTGCCCTCTGCAGCCCCATCACGCGCTCCACGTACCCGCTAGCGTGACGACACTAATCACAAAAATAATAATATGATGCCACTATTTCACTTGAAGAGCTCGATGGCGCGGATGATTAGCACGTTCGGCTGCGCTCGTTGAAGTTAAGCAACTTTCGCAGTGGTCGGTCATTGGATGGATGACCAAAAATCTTCTATCTCGAGTTCCTCCGTGCTTTGGAAGGCACGTTAAGCCGTTGGTCCCGGCTACGTCTGCAGTCGTTAGCACCCACCAATCCGCACTGGGCCCGCGTGGTGGGTCATGGCCCAATCTCCCTATTCCATCCATAGGGAAGTCCTGTCCCCAGCAGTGGGGACATTAACAGGCTGATTATGATGATGATGATGACCTCACTTGGCTATTCGTGTTTGCAATTTGTAAACTTGACATCAGTCTGTCCTTTTCATTCCTTATAAAGCATGATAAGGACAGGCTGCTGTCAAGTCTGCAAATAGTAAATTCGAATAGCCAAGAGCAGTGCCGGCATAAATATAATACATTTGTGTCTTCAGATACAAACACAGTCCCAGTAGCATGAGCACCACATTAAACATTGTATCACGATTTTTATCACGTCTAACTGTCAAACTCCATAGTAATTTGACAATTGAGCATGATAAAACTAGATATATCATATCGCGGTGTTCATGCTAGGGGAGCTGAAATAAAAAGAGGGTTAGTTTAAACAGCCCGATGAATTATTAAGACGTAAATTAAAATAGTACAAGGTGTACAGTACAGGTGTACAAAAACGAGCGATCCTTACAGTAGTCGCGTATGATGTGTAACATTTGAAACCTCACCTTATATTAGTAAAAAAGCAATAAAACCTACTACAAAAGGAATAAGCCATTTGAACATTATATTCTAAAATCAAATCAAATAGCGCGCGCTTTCGCGACTTTCTGTTACACACTTCCGTCCCATTTCACGAAATCACTCCCACAAATTGCAGGAAAGCGAGAGGAAAGATGTTGCACATCAAAAATAGTAAAAGTAGTCTAACCTCGCACGGTAATTTAAAACGCTCGCTATTTTTGAACACTTGGTGTCACGTCATAGTACTCTAAATAGTCCCTAGCAACAAAAGAAATAAGTCGATAGTTGCATTATATTAATTAGAGGTTAGATGATCGTGCACAACGCACTCGTACTATCTCTTATCTATTAGACAAGTCCGTCCGTCCGTCCGTCCGTCTGTCTGTGGTGCTGTTTCAGCGGCCAAACCGTAAGAGATAGATAAAGAGAATATTTAACTTATAAGTTAAGAATAGTCTGATAAGACTACAAACCGGATTTGAGTAACGTAGCACTTCCGGTTTTCGAGAAATCACGAATTTCAAACGAAACCACACAAAATCTCCGAAGTTCTCAATTAATTAAATACATTTTTTTTTGGTGAACATTTGGTTCACTGGTTTGCTAGTTATACTCTATTCAACTTCGTCTGTGACAAAAGGTAAACAAATAAACCAATGTTGTTAATTTTTTTTTAAAAAAAAAAACTTATAACAAAAAATCACATTTCAACGTAAATTATTTACTTTATCACTACCCTTCAGTTTAGTAGTATGCGTTCGAAGTTAGTTAGTTCGAATAGCTACTTTTAGGTGTTTTTAGTGTAACTTTTTTGATTTTATATGCGTATAAAATTTGACCTATTGAAAAACCTTTTTATGGTTTGTTTACCTTTTGTCTCAGAAGAAGTTAAATAGAGTATAGGTCTCGTTGACTTTGACTTTATCCTGTGACGACGGTACTTGTTTGTTGATTTTTTGTTATGGACTTGTACGTCACAACCGCTCTGCCGTATTCAAATATTAGAATTTGAATCTTGGCCCGGACCCGAAACGGTCTAGCGTTAGTCATCCTTCTGGTATGTTTAACATTATTATAACAGTATACTGACCTCATCCTCTAGCCGTACTACGTTGGCTTGCGCGTTGGTTAATGCCGTGTCGAGTATATCGATGTGGGTGCGTTGTTCTTGTAAAGTGGCGCGTTGTGCCGCCATTTCGATCTCTTGACGCTCTTTCGCACATGCTAGCTCTTTATCTGATCGTATACAAATAATGTATATTAAAGTACACGTCACATTCAATAAAAGCTTAATTAAATATAGGTAAGCGTAAATTATACTTGATATTTTTAAAAGGAACTTATTTGAAATAACTTAAAAGTTAAAGCTTGACCATGTTAATTATTAAATAACATAGTCCAGCTCGAAGGACCAACCATTTTCAAGTATACAACAATCTTCTATTTAATGAGTTATTTAAGATTTATGTTTTTACCTGTGATTATACACACGCTTAGATACCGAATTAACTGCACGAACACGACTAAAAATATATCTACAACGTATAGTAGATAAGCTCGTCGCTACATACGCACACATTGACTGTTTTCAAACAATCTAACATTAGAGTCACGCACATATTGCGCGTAACTTGAGCCGTTTTCTTTGCAAAGTCTATTTGGATTGCTATTTAGGCGTGTATATAATCAAAGGTTTGTACTTTGCATTGCATGCATTCATTTTTTTTCCTAGTGTGAATACTCAATAATCTTACTTTGTGTTATGAGCTGTGAAATGAGCATCTCCCGGTTCTGAAGTTCTTTACGCAAAGCTTCTGCACTATTGTCGTTTTCGGTTCGTACGCCTTGTGATAGTAAATCCACCTAAAATACGAGTATTTATAAACATTACTTTTGTCAAAGAATTCAAACGAAAAAACCTAAATTTAAGTAGATGACGCATGGCTTCAAATTGTATAAAAACCGAGCTTGTCATATTTTGAGAACGCATTAGTTGGCGGAAAAGCATACATCCGGTTTCAATTCTATAGTTTTTACAGCATCATTTGTCACAATTAAACAATAGGGATGATGACAGGGTAAAGTTAACGAAATTATATGTAAGTAGACTGTTAGTGGTGTCGATTCTGGTATGATTCTCTAAACCTAAACTTTATTCTTGTCATACAGAATGAAAACGAGAGACTGATGTTAAATTTAGTTTTTGTGTAGAGAATCATGGCAGAATCGACACCAGTAAGATTAGTTGTATTGTTTTTAGGGTTCCGGAGCCAAATGGCAAAAAATGGAACCCTTATAGATTTGTCAGATTTAAGGTTTCTAATATTTTTTATTCTAAACTGAATAGTTTGCGCGAGAGCCACTTCCAAAATGGAAGTTAAGAAATTATCAAAAAGGGAAGTGTACAGCTCAAGCAATCGGGATAAATAAAATTTGGTAATATGCCAAAAGAAATAGCTACGTTTCTTGGTCTGCCGGATGCTGAGTATTATACTGGGCACAGCTTCAGAAGGACCTCTGCTAAATTATTGGCAGATACAGGACCCAATTTGACGTCCTTAAAGCGACTAGGAGGTTGGAAGTCAGACAAAGTTGCAAAAGGCTATATTGCTGATTCATTAAACAAAAAACTAGAAACTGGGGAAAAAATCACACAACGGGGAGATGTCACCTCACCTGTTGCTTGAGCGCGCGGTTCAGCTCCTGCAGTCGTCGGCAGTCGGCCTGCAGCCGCACGCGCGCCGCTCGCTCGAGTCGCTCGCGTCGCTCGCACGATCGCACCAGTTCCTCGTGCGCGGTGCGGACTTTCTCCACTTCCTCTTCTAGCTGTACGGAATGATTGATGCGTTATTTTTCTTTGCTAAGACAACCTGCTTAATTAATATGCCATTTTTCATTTTTTTTAAATAGTAAAAAAATACCATGTCATACAAGTTTACCACTAAAAATCGGGTAAAAAATTAAGATACTATTAAGTTAAATAATATATTATTGAGAAGCTCGATGGCGCAAGTGGATAGCGCGTTCGGCTGCGATCGTTGAAGTTAAGCAACTTTCGCAGTGGTCGGTCATTGGATGGGTGACCAAATATTTACTATCCCGAGCTCCTCCGTGCTTGGAAGGCACGTAAAGCCGTTGGCCCCGGCTGCATCTGCAATCGTTAGCACCCTCCAATCCGCACTGAGCCCGCGTGGTGGGACATGGCCCAATCTCCCTATTCTATCCATAAGGAAGATCTGTGTACCAGCAGTGGGGATATTAATAGGCTGGTAATGAGGAAGTTAAATTAGCAAAATATAGGTAGTCGTCCTCGCATACACTCTCTATGGGACTATCTGTTTCATGCTTCCCGTTTATTTTAGTGTTGTACCCGTCCGTGCTGTATATCAGTGGAGTTAGCCCACCTTGGCAGTCTTAGTACGGCCGTCCCGTGCTGGTTGTGAGTGAAGTTAGCCCACCTTGGCAGTCTTAGTACGGCCGCCCCGTGCTGGTTGTGAGTGAAGTTAGCCCACCTTGGTTGTCTTAGTACGGCCGCCCCGTGCTGGTTGTGAGTGAAGTTAGCCCGACTTGACTGTCTTACTACGGCCGCCCCGTGCTGGTTGTGAGTGAAGTTAGCCCACCTTGGTTGTCCTAGTACGGCCGCCCCGTGCTGGATGTTGAATGAAGTTAGCCTACCTTGGCTGTCTTAGTACGGCGTCCCCGTGCTGGACGTGAATGAAGTTAGCCTACCTGGTTGTCTTGGTACGGCCGCTCCGTGCTGGTTGTGAGTGAAGTTAGCCCACCTTGGTTGTCTTAGTACGGCCGCCCCGTGCTGGTTGTGAGTGAAGTTAGCCTACCTTGGCAGTCTTAGTACGGCCGCCCCGTGCTGGTTGTGAGTGAAGTTAGCCCACCTTGGTTGTCTTAGTACGGCAGCCCCGTGCTGGTTGTGAGTGAAGTTAGCCCACCTTAGTTGTCTTAGTACGGCAGCCCCGTGCTGGTTGTGAGTGAAGTCAGCCCGACTTGACTGTCTTACTACGGCCGCCCCGTGCTGGTTGTGAGTGAAGTTAGCCCACCTTGGTTGTGCTAGTACGGCCGCCCCGTCCTGGATGTTGAATGAAGTTAGCCTACCTTGGTTGTCTTAGTACGGCGGCCCCATGCTGGATGTGTATGTAGTTAGCCTACCTGGTTGTCTTGGTACAGCCGCCCCGTGCTGGATGTGAGTAAAGTTAGGCCACCTTGTTTGTCTTAGTATGGCCGCCCCGTGCTGGATGTGAGTGAAGTTAGCCTACCTGGTTGTCTTGGTACTGCCGCCCCGTGCTGGATGTGAGTAAAGTTAGGCCACCTTGTTCGTCTTAGTATGGCCGCCCCGTGCTGGATGTGAGTGAAGTTAGCCCACCTTGGTTTACTTAGTACGGCCCACCAAGGTGGGCCGTGGTTGTCTTAGCGACCCGCTCGCATGCGTCGGCCAGCTGTCGCTCGAGCGTATGGTTCTCAGCAGCGAGCGCGTCGAGTACTGGATGTGAGTGAAGCCCACCTTGGTTGTCTTAGCGACCCGCTCGCATGCGTCGGCCAGCTGTCGCTCGAGCGTATGATTCTCAGCAGCGAGCGCGTCGAGTACTGTATGTGAGTGAAGCCTACCTTGGTTATCTTAGCGAACCGCTCGCATGCGTCGGCCAGCTCTCGCTTGAGCATATGGTTCTCAGCAGCGAGCGCGTCGAGTACTGGATGTGAGTGAAGCCCACCTTGGTTGTCTTAGTACGGCAGCCCCGTGCTGGTTGTGAGTGAAGTCAGCCCGACTTGACTGTCTAACTACGGCCGCCCCGTGCTGGATGTGAATGAAGTTAGCCTACCTGGTTGTCTTGGTACGGCCGCCCCGTGCTGGATGTGAGTAAAGTTAGGCCACCTTGTTTGTCTTAGTATGGCCGCCCCGTGCTGGATGTGAGTGAAGTTAGCCCACCTTGGTTTACTTAGTAGGGCCCACACAGGTGGGCCTTGGTTGTCTTAGCGACCCGGGGGCCAATCGCCTAACTGGATTGCTTTGGAAAACGCTATCGCTTACGATTTCATTTTGTTATTTCTAGCCGCCTGAGGTTTTCAAATGCCTCGCGCTCTTTTTTTTTCTTTTGCATTGGTAATAACAATGTTAAAGAAAATGAGCGTGAGGTATTTGAAAACCTTCGGCGGTTAGAAATAACATAATGAAATCGTAAGCGATAGCGTTTTCCAAAGCAATCTGGTTAGGCGATTGGCCCACCGCTCGCATGCGTCGGCCAGCTGTCGCTTGAGTGTATGGTTCTCAGCAGCGAGCGCGTCGAGAACTGGATGTGAGTGAAGCCCACCTTGGTTGTCTTAGCGACCCGCTCGCATGCGTCGGCCAGCTGTCGCTTGAGCGTATGGTTCTCAGCAGCGAGTGCGTCGAGTACGGCCGCGAACGCATCGTCGGTTTCCTCCAGCGAGCCCTCCCCGCCGCTGCACCATCCGCTTGACTCAGACCCGCCTGGCACCGCGCGTACGCCAACGCTAAACCGTTTAATTCACGTTGAAGTTCACGACTGTTATTTGGTCATATTAATCAAAAAGCTTTTCGAAATAAGAATAGATCTACAGCGAGAGACCTTGTACTTTGAAGTATCGGAATAGGTTTAATTTTGCATTTGAGATTGATAATATCACCACTTATTTTATTACCAGTTTTCGCAATTGCGTCTATGCCATCTTGAAACATGATCCACCTTAGATAAGCCCGTTTCGTGAACCATATTTAAACCTGGTCCCAGCACAAAACTCCGAGGTACCCACTTTGGGGAAATATTGAATATTGAAACTTTAAGGTGTGAACCAGATAATTAATATGGATACTTCAGAATGTGCCAAAAGATTTCATTACCTAGTAAGATCAGGTTGTGAGCGTGACAAATTGAGTTTTTCCTTGCTCAATTTGGCTTTGGAGCCCTTGGATTTGGGTTTGTGGGCTTCCTCCCGGGGAATGGAAGGAGCTCGCGGGGATGCAGGCGGAGTCGGCCCCCGTGGACTAGGAGATTGCGTGACCTCTTTCGCCAGGTGCTTCAACACTGATGACTGGTTTAAAAAGTCGTCTGGTATTTCGGTAATTTCCTGAAAATCAACTATGACATTAAAAAGATATCAAAATGGGTTTTCATATAATTGTTTTTATATTAGCTGACCATACCTGAACACCATGATCAGGGGGACTTGTATATATTCGCTGTCCACCGATGTCAATATAGTTAGCTGTGGCAGTTACAGCTTGTTCTTTATGTACTTTAGGCAATGGTATGCCACTAGGCTTTTTCCCCACTTCACTCTTCTTCAGGGTGTGATATGGGGAAGATTGAGTGGTAGGATGCTTAATTTCACTGCTAGTTCGTTCATGTTCACTGAAATAAATTTACATACATATTTAAATTGATACGGATAATGATGGGATAAAGTACACAAAATTCTATTTAGTCCGTCAGTTAGATTATCAATAAATAATGGAAACTTATTTTTTCTTTTGTCAATCAACCAAAAAATTTATAAAGATAAAGCATGTCAAAGTTCGGGAATGGGAGCTTGTAAAGTCACTTCTAAGTAAATAATTTACCTGATAGACATAAAAAAAAAGTTATGATCATCACAATCGTATCCCATAAGTAATGAAATGTAAATAGACACATCCACATAAATGTAAATTCATATCAAATCACATCCCATAAGAAAATAATGGAAACAGACAAATCTTCGTAAATATAAACATTAGAAATGGGCCAAATGTGGTTTGAACCAAAGGCCGAAGTTCGGTTCGATTTCGCGCGCTTTCGCGAGAGTGACAAGTCGTGACTTGTTCACGCATTTCCTTCATTTATTACTAGATGTACCTTGAGCGCACACCGCGCGGCCCGGAGCCGGCCGGTCATTTGCATATATGTCATCGGCCTACGATTGCTTACAACAAAAAATATTGTTTTAAATGCATTAACGAGGTTTTAGGTGATAAGTTTTGTTACTGGCATAATGCAAAAATGAGTGTAAGGAAAAAATCAAGTGTTTGGTCGTTTTATACAGAAATTGACTAACTAAATAAAGTTAAATGTATCATAAGTGATTCGCTGATATCTCGTGGTGATAGTGGACGGTCAGCATCTACTTCTGCAGTCTCCACTGAAAAACCACCTTCATGAGAAGCATAATCGAAGTTTGTTTAATTTCATGTTGAAAAAGTACCCTTTAATTGTAATAAAAAATACTTATGTCTATTAATGTTTAGTTTGTAAGCCAAAAACCTGATATTTTTATTCAATTTAAGAATTGTAATCCAGTTGTTTGTTAGAAGAATACTGAGTTTATTTCTTTTTGCAATAGTGTCTAATTTTCATATCTAATAATTTTTTTTTAAGCAGAGATTTCCAAGACTAATAAGAAGAACGGATTTAATTTAAGATTTACTTTTAAAATGTTTGTAACTTAAATAAATGACCAAGAGTGAGTAAGACATTATTTTATTTTACAGTAATGCCATTCTAATTTTAAACAAAATAGTGCAAGTAGGTATAATTTTTCTGAATTCGGCTGAATGCCAAAGTTCAGTTCAAGCTGCCGAAATTCGGTTGAACCAAATGTGAACCGAATTTCGGCCTATTCCTAATAAACATTAATTGAATTAATAATTACAAAAAAAAATGGTAAATGGTAGTAACAAGGAGTCAATAACTATGTCAAATTATAGTTATTCTTACCGAATAGGTGTTGGTCTCGGGGGCCATGAATCATCCTGGTTGTGTATAATGAGAGTATTATAAGAAGAAGAAGATACATCTAAAGAACTTCTATTACTGTTTCCTCCACCCACTGAGTCTTTTAGAGAATTTCGATTACTACCTGGCACACTATCCTAAAAATTTAGTGTATAGGTATGGTATTAAAACATCATTATCATTGTATAATATTCATGAAATTGAAACATCCTATATATTTCCATATAAGTATATTAACTTTTAAAACAACTGAAGTTAGCAAATGTTGATTTCATAAATACACTTCTAGAGACATCTACCGGGCCACCTAGCATTTTATGTTTTGACAGTCCTTAGCTAAAAAGAAATGTTAGATTGAGCAAAAAGTTTTTACCTATGCAGTTTTGAAGCTGATATATTAACCATCTTTTTGTGTGTTCTTAAAATTATTGCCCAATCATAAACATATATCTGTGGTACACGCCATTCAACTTATAACACTAAGTGGGTAGATATGTCTGGAAGTATATATATTTACAATAACATTTGCTAATTTAGGTCATTATAAAAAAAGCAATAAAAATATGCTAAATATCTAAAATTAACATTTTACATTAATTTCCAATAAAGTAAGTAAAGAAGTAAATAGCTGTGTGTACCTTGAGTGAATTTCTATTATTGTTGTTAGGTTCAGTTTGATTCTCTTGTCCTTGAGGCTCTACTCGAGCAGTGTGTCGGACCACATAGCGTTCTTCTCTAGATAAATTTTCATTAGACGTTGAGACATCAGTTTCACTACCTGACAGGCTTTGTGGAAAACCACTGGGCACTGTAAATAAAAATATAAAAATAAATTCCTCCCAGCTTATTCCTATAATTGACCTGAAGTTATTTGGTGCCAAACTTTAATGTTAAACTGATTTTGTAGTTGTATTATTCATCTTTTTGGTAATTCATACATATAGTTTAAGAAACAGAGCCTTTCAATAGGGGTGAACAGAAACAGAGCCTTTCAATAGGAACAGTAAACGAAATTCTATTTAGTCCATCAGTTAGATGATCAAAAAATAATGGACACATATTTTTTCTTTGGGCAACCAACCAAAAAATGACGTCGTCGCGCGTCAAAGTTTGGGAGTAGGGGCTTGTGACGTCATTTTTAAGTGAAAATTGGAAAAAACGTAACATCATGCGACTTTTCAAATCAATATATCTCTGCAGTGTTTAAATTATGTGAAAAAAGAAAAAAATTGTGTCCCATACATTTTGACCTGATAAAGGAAGAAAAAATAATTAGACATCAACCCTACTCATTGTAACAACTTAAGTAATGAATTTCACTAGATTGCACGCAGGGATATGTAACAAGGGCAAAATAATATTGCAATAAGTCAATGATTCACAGTATTGGTATGCTGTTTGGTTTATTCAGAAAAAAATTACTAACAACTACTACTTACCAGATTGTTTTTGTGTTCTCTGTATGTTGTTGGTGAAAGAAAGGAACCGTCCAGTTGGTCGCATAGATCCCATGACTGTTTTTACAATAAGTAACAGATTTCACTGGGAAAACATCTTGCATCAAAATAAACTGTGGGAAATGTATACTACCTAACCGTTATGTTTAGACCATCTGGAAGTTGCATTAAGACACAATTAAGCTCAATTACAAGTGAAACTATTTATAATCGAATAAAAAGTTTGTCCAAAGTCGACATTGTTTGCTCCAACTGCATCAACAAAATACTACAGCGAGTATGGGTACAGCATGCCAAGAAGTGTATAAACCTTATTCAAATTTAGTATAACACAAGCAATACGCATTCACTCCACTCACATCGTTTAGGAGTTAATAATATTTATTAATAAAAATTAATGCAAAATTAAATCTGTCTTTCATCATAGCAGTCAATGATCTGACAGGACTAATATAAACCTTTTCTCTTTGGGACTCAGTGTTTCCACTTTAATGATTTCCTTTCCCCATGCCTCAATTCAGATTTCCCCTTCTTAAGACATTTTCCCCTCAAAAATTATTCTGCTGTAGTTTTTAGATTTGGCACTAGTGTAGTAACTAAAGAAGAAAAAAGGTCTTAATCTATCTTATTCTGTAACAGATAAATAAAATGTATAAAATCTGCACGTGTTGACACAGTTTCTTTTATACGGCAATACTCTAGTCCACGGTATAGTCCATAAAAATTTTGTTCCGTGCCGCATTATTTTAGGCTAAGCTTTACCCATAATTTCCCGCAGTTTCCCTTTCTTCTTCTTTCATATCTTTCCCCTCTTTCTTCCCCTCTGGACCCTAATTTCCCCTTAAAAGGGGAATTTTCCCTCATAGTGGAAACACTGTTGGGACTACAGATTTTATAGGTTTTTTGTAGGTTTTTCCCGTTTTAGAAAGGCAAAGGGAACAATGCCCATACAGCCTAGTTTTTAGTTATATTAATGTTCTTTTATTTTTATATTAGAATGTCGGTGTGACGCATTCTAATGTTTCTTGGAGTGTTTGACACGAAATATATCGAGTTGGCTTTTTCCATAAGCTTTTGTGATATCATTCTTCTTCTGTTCCATAGTTAACACTACAATAAAGTTCTCACATCCACTTGACCGGAATAGCGTATATTTTAAAGATTCCACAGTGGAAATTTCCACTAATGATTCAGTTGCGCTTAGTTGTCCTCGTTTTTCCGTCGCAGAAGGTTGTGCGGCTCCGTTCGCGTCGAGCCCGACCTCTCCCTCTCACCGAGACTACTGCGCGCCTCCGCGCTTACGCGCGAAATCTCTTCGTCGCTGACCTGACCGTTATCCGCAAAATAGACGCTTGAGTGCGACCATTAGTGAAGTGGCGCAAACACAAGGAGATTTTTGTGTCAAAAATCTCCAAGTGCTCCCTGACTGCTGTTGCTGGGAACACAATTTTTCCATCTACCCACCACGCTCATAATTCATCCAATTCCACCCACCTAAGTTTTTCCCACCCTACCCTCTTTTCGAGATGCCGAAGAGGAAACCGCCGGACGAAAAGAAGCAAGCCGGCTGTGTGGCTCCAGCCGCGCCCGCCCGCCCAACTGAATACCCCGTTCCACCGGTACCCAGGCCGCGCCAACTTCCACCAAGGATGCGCGCCAGCAAACCCAACCCAGATACCGCCGGAACAAGCGCAGTTCCCGCAGATGCCCACCCAAGGGACCTGCGCCGTCTCCAACTCGACGATGTTGATGAGACCTCTGGAGGCGACGATAAGCGCCCCAGACTGGGCCCATCACCGCCGAAGCCCGCCTACTCTACGAGCGCCAGCAACGCTGCAACGGAAGATGAAGTCCCCCAACACGGATCGTACGAGTCAAACGACCCTAACCAATCCAAGAAGTCACAGCTTCGACATCCTACTACAGAATCAACTCTTCAACAGAAAGCGAAGGAACGCAGAAGAGGAGCGCATCCATTGGCACCGATGCCGGCTCCTGCTTCACCCTACTCCAGAACACCACAGGAAACCAAAACAAATGTCAACAAGAACTACCCTCCGATAATCGTAGATAAACTACCCTCATGGCCCGACCATTTTCGGAAACTGAGGAAAACTCTACGCCACGCCCCCAATGCACGCCCATTCGGAGCGGGCACACGCTTTAAACCGAAAAGCGAACAAGAATACCGGACTATAGAACAGTACCTCACAGACGCGGCAACCCGAGATGCCGCGATAGAATGGTACTGTTACTCACCAGCAACAGAGAGGCCGCTGAAACTAGCAGTAAAAGGACTACCACTAGATACCACCCCCAGAAGCTATTAGAAGCACTAAACGAGAGAGGCTTTCCAGCTACTTTCGCTCGAGGCATTAAAGCCAAGAGAAGCCGAGCGGGCTACATCTTCCACGTCCAACTCGAGAGGATGGAGAGGACCGAGATGGCCCGATTATACGCCACTGACAAGCTACTCGACATGCCTGGCATCATAATAGAAGGATGGAGGCCGAGGGCGGGACCTGCCCAATGCCACAGATACCAGGCATTCGGATACAGCTCCGAAAATTGCCACCGCTCACAACGTTGCGTAAGATGCGCCGGTAACCACTACACAACAGACTGACCACGCGAGCTTACGGACCTACCTACGTGTGCAAACTGCAAAAAAGGGCACACAGCCAACAATAGAAACTGCAGAGTGTTTTGTCAAATTGCACGTCGCCGGAACGAGAAAATCAACCCACCGATACCGGAAGGCGGAGCTTACAACTGCCCCGCCCGCCCCCACGACCAATGCAGCCCATCGAGCACCAAGCACCGATGTTCCAGAGCCTAGAAACGAACCTACCTTAACCGTCCCCGCAAACCCGCCCACTGCCCGGGGCGCTAACCTACCCAAAAGAAGACGTCGCCGCAGGAAACGCAAAATCGACCGTCAACCTGCGACGACAGCCCAGAAGAGCTCTCTTCAACAGCCCAGCCCCATAAGACAACTTGGAAGCCCCAAGCTAACAAGACCAACAAGACCGCCTCCCCCTCCGCCCAATACATCGGAAGGAAGAAAAAGCCGAGACGAGGCCACACAAACAGTCTCAGAGGCCCAAGCCCAACAAGAAGACGGACAACCAAAAATAAATTACGCCACGATCGAAGCAATGACAGAAATGCTCCGTGGTGTAATAACCGAAGTCCATATGGGAGCCGACCCCATACAAATCCTAACCAGAGTAATAGCCTGGTTGATAAAAGGAGTAAACATAAATAGAACCCAAGATGGGGCCATCGATTTTAATGTGTCACCCTTTAACTTTGTTTGTCCACAGGCCTACGAGTATGCATTGGAGACAACATCCACCGCCCTCACCCAAAACTAGTGGGTAGTTTTGGGTGAGCCTAATTACCCACCTACCCTCACCCAAATCTCTGCCCTCTCCCAAATTACATAATTCGCGGCCTGCTCGCTGGCGCTAGCTGGGCCTCCCCTGAAAAGGGGTCTCACCTGGCATGGCCGACCGCGCTGAGGGCCGCGTAGTAAATCCTAATTGGAGAGGACAGCGAAGAAGAGAAAAAATCGTCAACAACGACTGCCACTGTCTAGCGGCACCCAACCCCGCGGAGGCGCACCCCCGCGAGATGCAGCCCGGGGTAAGATGCAAAGCATCGCTCCCGAACCCACCTGTAAAGAAGGAAGAATCCTGCAGATTCAGTTGCGCAGACTGTTGTAACACAAAATCACACCAATTTTATTTTACAATACCCACCATGAACGAATTTAAGAATAATTAAAATTAGACGCCAACCGGACTCGATAAAATCCCGCCAAAAACCCAGATTTTATAGATTACAAATATTTTGTACAGAGGCCACACTACGTTCTAATGTTCTAACTTACGCTCCGAGTTAGGACTGTTGATAAAATATCGATTTATTGAAATATCGATATTATTCTTTAGAAATATCGATATTTATTACTAATATTTTTTTGGCAGATATATCGATAGTTCGATGTTGAAATATGAAAATTGACGGTTGATATTTTTTTTTGAAATAAGTATTAATTTTTTCTCACCAATTATTGAAATTATAACAACATATACAGGGTGAAATTGAATGTTTTAATGAAACTTCGTGGGAATGTTGGGTTACGTATATAGAGTATCTCTGAATTTTTTCGGATTTTTTAAAAAATGATTTAAAATAAAATTTTGTTTTTTTTTGTTATATTTTAAGTCCTTTCCTCCTTTTGGGTACTAAATAATTATTCTTTTAAAACATGCATACAGAGTAAGTAAAAAACAAGTAATAAGCACTACTAAAAAAGACGTAAAAACAGGAGACGGGCGGCCGGGAGCAATGACCGCTCCCGCCGTTGAATACCTTCCTGCCTACCTATCTAGGTATGCGCGGTGCACAGCGCAGTGAACGAGCGGAGTCTCAAGCGCGCGTGCGTATCTTTTAAATTTGTGACAAGACAAGATTTGCAAATAATGCCTTGATTAGTTCTTGTTCTGTGCCCTCAATATAAGAATTTGGATATGGTGTGTTGTTATTGCGAGTGTCACGGAATACTCAGCAGAGCCACAAGGCTTTACGAAAGTAGGTTTGGTGATTTATTGGGAAGTTATAGAGAAAAAAATTAATAGGTACATCGGTCTCGTAAGTACTTTTGAATACCTGGTAATAAATTTCATTCTGACCCAAGTATTGAACTGCAATAAGTATTTCTTTTTGTTTAACTTTTGCCTATTTCCAATCGTGACAAAATTATTATTAACTTTTTAAGTTTTTCTCTGCTTAAGAGAAGATGACATTTGTGCTTATTATTTCAATTTCAATAAAGGCATCTGAGACGATTTTATTGTATTGTGTGGAATCAAACGAGTCAGCTGAGCTCTGTGTACGTACCTACTCACTCAACGGCTGGCGGGCGCGGTCGGTCGTTGACCCGCGGTGGAATTTTACTGTTTTTCCGTTTTTTAGAAGTGCTTATTTATTAGTTGTTTTTCACTGGATATGTAAGCATGTTTGTTTAATATGAATAACTACTCAAAATGAGGAAAGGACAAAAATATACACAAATTATAAATAAATACATGAAAAAAAATACTAAAAAATCAGGCATACTCTATACTCGTAACCCAACAATCTCACGAAGTTTCATTAAAACATTCAATTTCACCCTATATAAAGTAAATCTACTGTACTTTATTTGCACTATATTATGTCTTTCCTCTCATAGTTTATTTATTTGCATATGATGTTAAAACAAATTGTAATTTTGTATAAAAAAAACTATAATCTAAAACGTATTATTTACTTTACCAACTGTTGTTACTTATCACCTTACTTAACCTGTCAGCGTTAATAGCTTTAGCATCTCTAACTCTACTTAATTTGTGATATGTGTATAATCTATGGTGAACTATTGTCTGTAGTCTGTGATTAACAACGAGCGAAGGAAAAATTATTACTGGTGTCGATTCTAGCATGATTCTCTAAATCTAAACTTAAATTTGACAGCAGTATATCCTTGTCATTCTCTATACAGAATGAAAAGGAGAGACTGATGTTAAATTTAGTTTTAAGTTTAGAGAATCACGCCAGAATTGGCACCACTGTCTTGTTATAAGTAATTAATGTAGCGGAAAAGTACGTGTTTATTCAATTTTAATTTATTTAAAATCTAGTTACATAGTAATAGTGAACTGCTAAAATATGTCGTCTTCGAAAAATTCTTAACTCGATAAGATAAAATCTAAAAAATATCGATATATCAAACTCCGATATTTTAAAATATCGGTATATCGAGAATCCGATATTTAAAAAAAATATCAACAGTCCTACTCCGAGTGCAACTTTTTACCCTGACGCGACGTTTCAATTTTGATATAAAATTTATGGAACCTATGTCAAAATTGACATTGGTTGCACCTGAAGCGTAGGTCCTGAAGTTTTATGGATGCAAAAAATCAAAGATTCTCACAGGGCTCCGTTCAGACCCTACGCTCCTGGTGCCATAAAACCACTCTCACTTTTGACAATTTGTTTGGAACATTTTAAAGGGGCCCATTCACGGCAGTCCATCTTGCAGTCTGCCGCTTTATGCAGGATTGTGAGTGTTTTCGCAGCCTGCATGGTGTCCGGCAGTACCAAACAGGATTACTTCATGAGTTCTGTCATGCACGGCGGACTGCAATGCAGGATCGTGAATGGGTCTCTTTAGTGACAATGGAAACGGTAATGAGTTCTTAGCCTCCGTTCTGTAACTCTCACTCGTCCAGATCATCGATAACAGTCATCAGTCCCGTTTATATTATGCCGGAACTTCATATGGATATTAGTAAACTTTACAGCAGCTGTCAAAATGACAAATAGCAAATACCACCATGTTGAAAGCCTTGTCCATACAATAGGGATGATGACTAATTTTTTTTTCTTCGTTTATCTGGTAGATTATCAAAAAATATTGGACACATATTTTTTCTTTTTTCACATAATATAAACATTGCAGAGATATATTGATTTGAAAAGTCGCATGACGTCACGTTTGAGTACACTTATAAGCGAAAATTCACTCAAAAGTGACGTCACGAGCCCCTACTCCCAAACTTTGACGCGCTATAACTTTGTCATTTTTTGTTTGATTGCTCAAAGAAAAAATACGTGTCCATTATTTTTTGATCATCTAACTGACGGACTAAATGGAATTTCGTTTACTGTACCCCGTCATCACCCCTATTTGAATGCCCGGACCTTGTACATAAAGTTAACATTTTTTCAACTTTCTGTAATCTGTAGGCTGTATGCTTGACGTCACCTTGACGTAGTCACAAAAACATCAAATGAGAAATGACAAAACTTATGCTTGACTCGAGGATTTTTATTTACGTCCACAAACTTTCTTTATGTGATGCTAGCGTTTACGTCATCAATGAAATATCACCAATAACACACACGACACGAAGACTCGGTTTCTGCTGGAAAATCGTATGGCGTTTAAAATGTTTCCATTACTTTTGTCTCAAATCTTTAGTAAAATGCGTTATTCAGTAGGATTGCATGCAGTGGAACTTAGTAATACAATTATTTTATTTATTCCAGTGTGAATGATTTATTATAACTACCTACTATAACTTTGGAGCTCTACTGACCATTTGGGAATTTGTCTAGTCAGTGCAATAGTTACAATTATTTGAAAACATCATTATGCGGTAGCGCACACCGAAACGCGACGGGACGCTGCACGCTCCACAGAGCGACTCAAAACAACTTAATTTACTACGCGAAAAGATACACATTTCATTGTTTGAATTCAGAATACATTGCACCAAGCGTAATCTGAATTCACACCATGAAATGTGTATCTTTTCGCGTAGTAAATAAAGTTATGTTTTGAGTCGCTCTGTGCAGCGTGCAGCGTCGCGTCGCGTTTCGGTCTAAGGTTTCGGTGTGAGCTGACGCTAAGTGTGATGGAAGTGCTTTATCGGTGATAATATTTCAAATAATATTATAACATTAAAGCTAGAGCACTTTACATTTACATAGTAACAAACAACTTTTGTCATTTCAGCCATTTCCGCTGCAAAGATAATAATATTATTTCATCCGTTGTAAATTTTTTTAAGGTCAAATAACTCACACTAGAGATATCTCAGTTGCAATACAATATAAAAATAAAATGGTGGATCCACAGAGAGTAGTAAGCTATGAGGATATGCTAAAAGTAATTCATCAGCCTGAGAAAGTGATCATTGATGTTCGAAATCCTGATGAAGTGAATGCCACTGGGAAGATACCATCAAGCATAAACATTCCATGTAAATGTGTTGAATTATTATGTTTTATTGTTTTGTATACTTCTAAAAAGCCATGTCCTTACATTGATAATTTTTCTCTAGTAAATACTGTCCAAGATGCATTAACATCAATGTCTGATGATGATTTTAAGAAGCACTTTCAAAGAACAAAGCCATCTTCATCTGATGAACTTATATTTTACTGTCAATCTGGCCGCCGATCCTCAGAAGCTTTGGACAAGGCTTTAAAACTCGGCTACTCTAAGTAAGTTTTATTTCAAGTCAAAAAAATTTTATAGCAGAATGTCTTACAGTCACTGAAAACTTTTAACTCACCCAATTATTGTAATTTGGTACATTTTTTATATAAATTTAAAAGTTAGCTATTGAGCTTTCTTTTGTCAAAAAAGTTTTATATCTATATTATTTTTAATTTTGAGTGTTCGCTTTACAGGTCTAAAACATATCTTGGAAGTTGGAATGACTGGTCAAGTAGACAGAAGTGAAAAGATATTTATGTTCAATATAATTTCTGATATACTGTTCATTGTCTGTGCAGCATAATAAATTGAAATTAAAATAAACCAGTAATTTTGATGGATTATATTCTGAAAAACACAACTTACTTATTCTAAAAAAAATTTAATCAAATATTTTTTGGCCAAAATTTAATTATGACTAGATGACATAACACATAGCTATGGGTGAGCCACCAAGGAATTATCCTACGGAATGCCAAATTACTATTATATTGCTACTCAAGGCCTTTTTGTACTTTAATATTCTTTATATTACAATAACTATGTCTGCACTTTTGAAGCCCATTCTGTCCAGCTGCCTAGGTAGTTTTTTACACTGAAACAAACAAACCTCTTCACAACATGCCCTTACTACTAACTTGAAAAAAGGATAGAATACCTAATAAATAAGCTAAACTAACTTTTTATACCCCAGGTTTAAAGCATTCTGTTGAGCCATACCAGACCTCTTGCCAATCATACAATAGAAAATAATAGGACTATCCTCAGCTGGTTTTGATCTATTGTAACTTTTTTCAAACTCCTTTTCTGACATTGAGCTTAGTACTTTTGTGACATCACCCACTGAAAATGATTTATAACCATAATTAGTTGTATAGTCATAAAAATGTACTAATCTACTATAGTCTATTCACTTTGGCCTGAGACAAAATGTAAACAAAGAATCTAAGGTTCTAAAACTTTTATAGGGCCTGGCCCACCTGCCGTGGGTAACGTGGAGAATCAGCAGGATCCCACGAAACCCGTTCCGGCAGGCGAGGAAGCACTGTTGGGTTTTTAGTGGGTAGCCCCCTTCCCTCGTCCCGAGCAGCCGCTGAGCCAGTTTGGCTGAGCGGGTGGGCAGGATGTGGGGGAGGGAGGAGTCCCTCATAATCCGCCTCTCACCCAGGAGCAGGGTATGCGTCAAGCATTTTCCCAACAAATTTTTTTTCAACATTTTCCATGTCAACATAAGTTGTTAAAATACTTTTATCAGCAACATATAAATATACGGTTTTTTGATGAGCATATACGTTAGATATGTGTGAAATATTTTATTTCCTTATTCATATGTATGTACCAGCTTTTAAAATAAGTAACTTTATGTTTCCCTGCATTTCCTATATAAAAAGTATTTAATCTTTACTTTTGTCAAACGTGACCTTAAAAATTATCCTTTTTATGGTTTGTTGACATTTTGTCTCACGCCAACGTGAATAGACTATAGTAATTTATTTATTTAAGTACTCACATGGAATGTTAATACTGTTTGGAATTTTTCCATGTTCTTTAATTTCATCTGGCTGTCTAACATCTACTATTAGTATGTCATTGTTTGAAATAGCCTTCTTGACTTCTTCATAATTTACTATCATTTCTTCTGGAGTTACTTGCACAGAAAACAGCCGACTTTGTGTATGCGAGCCAATTAAACAAAAAGAAAATCCTACCGGAAACATTTGATATTGTTAATTTTACTTACCTATGAGATAAATTATAAATTAGATAACATTATTCTTGACTTACTAGAGAGAGGAGAGGGAGAGGCTGATTTCAATATTTGGGATGAGATAATTGAATGTTTATATGAGCATATCGCTACTGTCCTAAGCGTTGGAATAACAGCTCGGTGAATTATGTGGTAGAACATTATATAAAACAGTTCGTCGTTTATGATAAAATAAAATACTGTGCAATTCAAATAGGATTTAGGAAATTCATTGACCACCATCTGTCAAATGTTACTTTTTTTTGTTGAAGTTCACCCGTTTCAGGGAAGGCAAAGGGAACAATGCCCATACAGCCTGGTCTTTAATTAAATTAATCTTCTTTTTGTTTTTACATTAGAATGTCGGTGTGACGCATTCTAATGTTTCTTGGAGTGTTTGGCACGAAATGTATCGAGTTGGCTTTTTCGATAAGCTTCTGTGAGGTAGTCAACACTACAATAAAATTCTCACGTCCACTTGACCGGAATAGCGTATATTTTAAAGATTCCACAAATTCTTCAGTTGCGCAGATGGTTGTAACACAAAATCACACCAATTTTATTTCACAATATCCATTATGATATGAACTTTAAGAATAATTAAAATAAGACGCCAACCGCACTCGAAATCCCGCCAAAACTCCCTTTTCTTTTTTTTATCTTTTTTCCCATCTTGGGGAAGGAAAAGGTCAAATGCACGGAAAAAAGATCACCTTTTTTTCAGGTCCGTGGTCAAATGTTGCTTGAAAAGTACGGTTTCCAAAAAAAATCTTGAAACACTTTTAACACTGAGCTAATCTTATAATAAATACATACTGAACATTTGTAAACAAAAGAAGGAAATAAATTTAAAACTTAACTTTTGCTCACTCTACCTTACTGGTTTGAATTGACAGCTATGACGTCACAAAATGGTGCCCAGGGCCCAGTCGGTCCTATCTTAGTTAGTTAGGGTTAGTTGAATCGCGTTGTACAATAAAATATTGGGTCAGCTTCTCTGAATAAGGAAACAGCTTTCATTCGCTACACCAAAGCACAGATTGTTATGGTGTCAATTCTGACGCGCGATTCTCTTAACTTATAACCAAGAACCATTTTGGTACTGACTTTGTACAAACTTTTTTTTATTATGTTATGCATTAAAAATAAGTAATGTAGGATGTTTAAGTAAGATGTCAATATGATAATTATCATTTCGCATGCATTGCGAATATTTTTAGATTTTTATAATTAATAAGAGTCAGTTTACGAGCAAATGTGTTGAAAAAAATGTTATTAAAAAAATATGGGTGCGTGTACTTAAGTACGCGCGTGAGAAGTTATACTTCTTTTTGGAATTATTAAAAAATAGTTTTTAATTGCATGCAGATAATTAATTACAATAAGATAATAAAAGGATTGGAAAAGGATAGTCAACGCAGTCAATAAAGTTCAGTTTTAATTTGAAAAATTTAATAAATAATCAAAATATTCAATTTAAATCACTACTGAATAAAATTTATTAGCACATATAAATTTCGCATTTGTATAACATTATAACACCTGTTAAGAATATAGAAACTAGAAACATGTGGATAAATATTATAAATATGAAAACAGTGATCAGAGGCGACGAGCGTCCCAACATGTGCGACTAAGAGATCCTATTACTATTTTGTTGGAAGCTTTTTTTCGAGACTTACGAGTAATGTGCGGTTTAGCGGACGACTTCATGGTGTTACTTTTCTGTTACAGTATCGCGCGCGCATCTTAAAATTTCACTCTCATAATTTTTTCATAACGCGGCTAAAGAAGTATAACTTCAATAATAACACAATATTATAGGAATTAAAGGTAGATTACAAAGATAAACGTTCAATAATATAAAACTAGATTAAGTTTAATTGCAAGTTTAATAGTAAGTTTAAATAACATAGGTTCAATAATACACTTACAATAAATTCACATTATAAAAATCTCAACCTTAAAGCTGGGTACAGATTGGTGCAATGCAACATGTAAGGCCGTATACAGAAAGAAAGCCGAAAGCCGATCCTTCCTACATAAAGGTAGCCGATTAAAGCAGATCAAGCAAAATGTCGGACTCATCGGACGATGATTTGGTTTTGTTAGAAAATGTTTATTTAAAAATGCGAAAAATAGCTATACATCCTATAAATAGAGAAAGGAAACGTTTCGGAGAATACCATCATTTATTTGTAAAAAAATTTAAATTTGATGAACAAAGATTTTATACATATATACAAGAATGATTCAAGAAACATTTTATTACATTTTAGATTTAGTGAAAAACCGTTTGATGAAAAATTGGGGCAATTGGCATAAACAACCAATCCTTCCAGAAGAAAGATTTGTTGTCACCATTCGGTAAGTACGAAACAAATAATTTTAGCGCTTAGTTAATAAAAGATAAAGTTATTAGATTTATAAAAACGATTATAACTTGGATTGATTTAATCTAAGGATAATAATTCAAATACAAATTATTTATTATTCGGACCAGCGCGTGTCGGCGCTTATCGGCTTTCTTTCTGTATACGGCCTAATGTAATATTCTGCCGTACATTGCATGTTCCCTGCCTTGAACGTGTGGCGCGCGCGGTACGCGCATTGACTACGAATCATTCGAGAACATTTCTGTTCCCGCATTTCGTTACAAACACTAGCCCTCGTCCGTCACACGTGTTCTTTTCTTTGCCCGCATCACTCTACTTAGTCGATATACTTACGAATCATTTTGTTATTGCACTTTTCTGCTGTTATTTTCAATCAATTTCCGATTTCGTCCCACGCATCTTTCTTTAAATTTTGTTTATAAAAGTTTTCATTTTGAGGGTTCCATAAAACTTCCCTTGTTCTGTATTCCTCTATCAATAAAAGTGACTCGTCATCACTCCACGCACCCACTTTCACCGCCATGATCGTTGCGCATGCGAACGAAACGAACGACCGTCCACGACTGAGTCCTACGTAGGGACACGAAAAAAGTATCGATACTTTGTGGTATCGAGTACTTTTCCTTTCGATACCGATACTTTTGTACTCGATACTTTGTATTCGATACTTTTACTTATTGAGTACTTTTTGGCAAGTAAGTATCGATACTTTTAAAATTTGGACAAGCGCCTCATATTGTTACGATATATTCAAATTCTTTCCAATCTGTGACTCTGTTTATTTTGCGCTTTGTTTTGTTTCATAGTTATTTATTTAGCGACCATATTGTTAGGAATTGTGATTGATGATTCGCCGTTTATTGTGCTTTTTGCTTGACTGCATTTGATGTATTCAAGTGTAACACTATTATTCTGTCTGTGCTGTGTATACCTATTTGAAACCACGGACCTGAAAAAAAGACGGACGTAACCTCTTCTATAATTATAATATTGAGTGAAGCATGCCAATGGCCGCCGTTAACTGCGTGTCAGATTCAAGTAACATTTTAATTATTCATGTGATATTAATGAACACTTTTTAAGTGTCAGAAATCACAGCTATTTTCTTTTCATTATATAATATAGCAATTTGTGAATTTATATGTCCTTTTACTGTTATTATACGTACTATAATAAAATTGGATTGATTTTCTTTCAATTTTTAACCCGGGGGGGGGGGGGTTGCTCATCGGGCCACAGAGGATCCGATAAGGCCCTATGAAATGTACTCGATACTTTGAAGTATCGATACTTTTGTTTCGATACTTTTACGAGTACGATACTTTTTTACCGATACTACTCATGAGTACAGTATCGATACTTTCTATTCGATATCGTGTTCCTAGTCCTACGCACACTGCGCGCCCCTTTGTGTTCGTACCAAAAATCTCGGATCGAGCCGCGCACGAGTTGTAACCATAGAGTACATTATATACTAGTAATAGAGATAGCAGTTAACCTGAGCATACAGCGCCATCTAGCGATTCATGACATAATCACAAGTCATGTACTACTGAACCGGTACCGGTAGCTTTAGATGCGATTATTAATATGAAAAAAGGAAAAAAACATACTGTGTTAAAGCTACATTATTAGATAATTTATCCACTATTCGTTTACACAGTTTTTTTTGATAATTGTCTAAAAATGTAGCTTTAACACAGTCTGTTAGAATAAATAAAGAAGTTTTATAAATCAATTATTTATATTTATATTATTAAATATTTGCATGACATTCTTTTAATATCATCTTTAAAATTTGTACAATTACGCAGCTTTATGGTGCCGTTTAATAATTTATTTACCTCACCACACCAGTTATATATAAAAAATCTATAAGTCGGATCTATCATAAAAGTTTCATTGCTTTCTTTAGCCGTGTTGTGTATTTGAGATTCTTTTCAGTTAGCTTCTTCACCACTTTTTTTAAGTTAGTTACACTTTGATCCATTGCAGATGCTGAAAAAAAGCATTTCAATAAAATTAGTTTCACTGTGAGGTTAAGACATAATTTTTTTTAAATAATTATTATTAGTATAAGAAAACTAAGTGGAAGGTTCATTTCATTATGTAATGTCTACTTATTAACTAAAACATGACTAAAGCCCATAGAGGTAAGTTTAAGAAAAAAGTTAACAAAAGAATAAAGATGATTGGGGTAGGTGCTCTCTAAAATATAGATAACATATTTCTGATATATTTTTTTTAAAGTTAAGTTAATAAAGTTATCAAATAATTATAATAAACAAAAATACTTATATAAAAATAAAAATTACCTGTAAGCTTATTTTTACTTAGTATCTTCGATTTCTTTACAGCGTTTTGTTGTAATTCTAACTTTTCAGTCAAAACACCACCTGCAAAAAAAAATATATTAAAACAAAACAGAATAAGGGAATGGTTTTACTGATTTGTATATCTGAAATTTGATGCTTCCATTCAAACATTCAAAAATAATGTTGCCCCTACCAGGATTCGAACCCAGAACTTTACAGTAGGTATTGACAACCAGTGCACATTCCACTCTACCAGAATGTCAGTGATATAAAAAATGATTTGTAAATAAATAAGTAAATATTTACTAGTGGATGTAGAAGGCATTGAAAGCTGAGAATGTTCAATTTCTTGGTCAATATTCATTCTGTTGGTGACATCCGTTAAAACACTCCATGGTGCACCAAATCCTGATTATAAAAAAAAATATTTAGCAATTTATATAAAAATCACATTCAACTCAATGATTTTTATTAAGAGACCATTACATACACTCTTTACTCGATGTTTTAAAAGACTTTGAAATCAGCAATTTACCTGGC